GGGATTACAGGCGTGAGCCACTGCACCCAGCCCAATCTAGGAAGCTTACTTATTTTTAGTTAAAAAAAAAAAAAAAAAAAAAAAAAAAAACATCTCATTCCCTCCCTACCTCTTTCCCACACCCACCAGGCAACTATAATCCTCTAAGTGACCGATTCCCTCCAAAAAAATGTTGTCTTTATAAAAGCTATAAGATCTGATCCTGCTGGAGTCCTCACACCCCTTTATTTCCTGGGTCCTGCACCCACCTAAGCTTCTGCAGAAGTGTGTTTGACTCCTCACCTCATCTACCCAGTCAGTGAGAGGTGTATAGTGTGGGTTCCCAGATGCCTCCAAATTCTGTGGGCTGATAAAGCTCAGAACTCAGGTTTTAGCCCTGGTGTTTAAAGTGTCTGCCTCCAAAAATGGTTTGTTTAAAAAAAAAAAGAAAGAAAAGAAAATCCAATTGAAGAAACAGGAAATCTAGCTAGGAAGCTGGCCTCAGAATACCTGTGAGGACAAGCAAAGTTAGGGTCACTCACTCCCCACCCCTTGCCCCAATACTGGCTTGGTCCCAGTCACTTCCTGCTTTCCTAAAAGACTCTAAGCAAAAGCTGGGTGTTCCCAAATCCCTTCCCTTGTTTTTAAACATACTTTTAAAACATACTTTAAAAAATAACAAATCTTCTGGGTCTACAGAAAATGTCTCTAACTGTGGTGTGCCCAGAAGGTGAAAAAATTAGGAAAAGTATAGCCTAAATTTAAAACAAAAAGAAACATATTCACTTGCCCAAAAGTGCCCCATACTGCCTCTAAAAGGATTTCTCCTACAGGACCAGTTACTGTAAACATCTAGAGACTCTCTCTCAGTCATACACAATGCTAGAAGATTGGAGGAAAGGAACCTGGAGATCAAGCTAAGGTGTGTCAAGAAATAAGCAGAGCTGCAGGGGCTGGCTCAAGCTGCAACCACCCTTCACCCAACTCACACGCCCTTGCACATTCCCTACAGAACTTTCTGACTGACAAAAGAAACTTCACACCCAACCACTGCCCCCACCCCCACCCCGTCTCTCAGATCCTGGGAGGCAAGCATGGGTCCCTATGCAGCAGTAAGGGTGAGAGCCCTCTACTCTCAAGTCCCAGACCAATAGTGCAAATCTCAACAGGTTCCCCCATCCCATTCCACACACCCATGGGAAAGATGGTCTCCTGGGCCAGTTTTGCAGCAGAAGCAAAAAGAGGTAATTTTGCTGGGTGTGGTGGCTCAATGCCTATCATCCCAGCACTGTGGGAAGCTGAAGTGGGTGGATCACCTGAGGTCAAGAGTTCGAAACCAGCCTGACCAACATGGCAAAACCTACTAAAAATACAAATATTAGCCAGGTGCGGTGGTGCGCACCTATAATCCCAGCTACTCAGGAGGCTGAAGCAGAAGAATCGCTTGAACCCAGGAGAAGAAGGTTTTAGTGAGCCACTGCACTCCAGCCTGGGTGACAGAGCGAAACTATCTTAAAAAAAAAAAAAGTGGGGGGTGGGGGAACTTTGAGATCAAGTCTTACAGAACTTGGAAGAGGAGAGAGAAAGAACTTGTTACCAAGATGTTTTGTTGCCTCCTTGCAAGGCAGCAGAAATCTGTTCAAATCAGTTCCTTCACTTTCAAGCCTCTTGTATTTCGAGCACACAAGGTTGTATCTCTTGTGTCTTTCGCACACAAGGCTGGGAATGTCTCATTTAATCTAAAGAATCTGCACACCTAGAAGGACTGACTTGCTGTCCCTAAAGGCAGCATAGAGGCTCCCACGAGAAGCACAGACCTGGGCAGGACTGTTTGGACTAATGTCCCTCCCTGCGCTCTGCCACCTCTGTGACTCAAGGGGCCTCCCCCACATCTCCCTTCAAACAGCAACAACAAAAAAGTGCTGTTTCCTTAGAGGAAAGATTATCAAACAGGTGAAATATACAGTAAGAAGAGCCAGCTGAAAGCACCAAAGGACGCAGAACGTTGCAGCTGGGAAAAGGAGCCTAAACACCCTCTTCTGCTAGAGTCAACAAAACACTTTTCAAAATGAGGTACTTCCAGGTATTTTTTGACAATAGTGTTTTCACGGTTCACCCCCTAATGGCCCCCAGGCACAGGAATTAGAGTATAAGTCAAATTGGAAGCTGAAAAATTGGTGGGCTAAATTTTTAAGGAATAGGTACCCTAGCTCCAGGACCCCCGGGTTGCAGCCTAGCCATGCGAGCACCAGTCCCAGACCAGGGCCCAGCTGATGCCAAGCCCAAGGGCCTATCCACCAGCTCTCCTTCAGGATGAAGTCACAAGTCTGACCACTCCAGTGTCCTCTCATTTTTTTCTTCCCTTGTCTCCCTCGTGGGAGGGGAGATGCCAACTAGCTTCCCTAGGATATCTAGGTCCTTCTGTTGTGCTCCTCTTCTAAACACCCTTCTCTAGGAAAACACACACACTCTTTCTGGAGAGTTCAACTGGGTGAGCCTGCATGTACATGTGTGCGTGTCTGGGGGTGGATCAAGTGCCTACCACTCTCCCAAACTTACCCCATCGTGGAATTTCCTTCACTCGCCCCAAGTAGGGTCTGCGATAGGGCTCAAGCGCTGTTCGTTCCCTCCCAGCCTCTTTTTTCCCCAATAGCAGGCGCCATTCACTAATCATCAAGTCCCTGAGAGCTTCTCCAAGGCACGAAAGTGCAGATGTGCATTTGGTCTCTTCCGTGGAAAGGAACTTGGCATAACAGAATCGCCTCAGTGCTACCAGACTTTGATCACCCAGCCACAGGCCTGCAAACCTTCCTGGGACCAGGCCGACCTCCGCGCACTCGGACAAGAAAGTCCTGAAAACTGGGCCTGAGTGGAGTAGCTGCTCCACGTCCCCCATGTGTCTCAGCGCTTCGGACCCGCACTCCCACCCCGAGGCGCGACCCTTACCTGCGCTAGGGCCCCGGGGCACCGGGAGCGGGGCTCCGGCACGGCTCTGCAGGCTGTGCAGCACCGGGGTTTCGAAGGGTCCGGCGGGCCAGGCGGGCGTCAGCGGCGCCCCCATGTAGGGCGAGTAGGGGCTCGGATGGTGGTGGTGGTGATGGTGGTACGTCCCGTTCAGCGGTCGCGCCGCCGACAGCGAGCTGTACTGGTGCTCGCGGCCGCCCATGGCCGCCAGGCTGCCGCCGCCGCCGCTCACGCCTCCCGCGCCCCCGCTGCTGGCCGCCGCGTAGCCTCCCGGCTCCCGCGCGGCGCCGTTGGCCATGGGCGGGCTGGGCGAGTAGGGGAAGCGCGCCGAGACGTGCGCCGCGGCCGAGCCAGCGCCGCCAGGCCCGGCGGCCCCGCCGCCCGCCGCGCCGCCTCCGCCGCCATATGGGGGGCTGTCGGCCGAGGCCTGGGGCCAGCCGGGGTGCGCGCCCGCGCCGCCTGCGTGGTTGGCTGGCCCGCTGCCGGAGCCCTGCAGGTGGTACGGCAGGCCGGGCAGCATGGAGCCCACGCGGGTAGTGGGCACGTAGACCGGGGAGCTGGCCGCCGCCGCGGCTGCCGCCGCAGCGGCCGCAGAGTGCACGAAGCCGCCGGGCGCGCCGTCGTAGGCGGCCGGACCCTGGCTGGAGAGGGCGGCGAGGGTCTGGTACATCTCCTCCGGCTGCTCAGGTGCGAAGGGGCTCAGCTTGGCGCCGCGGCTGGACCACAGCAGCTTACTGGCGGTCGCGGCCTGGTCGAGGTCAGTGAACAGCAGCAGGTCCTCCCAGCTCGACAGGTTGCCCCCGGGGCCGGCGACGCCAGGCGCGGAAGGTCCGTGGGGAGCCCCGAAGGGATGCGAAGCGTAGGAGCTGAGCAGCAGCGAGCGGGCCGGGGGTCCTGCCGCTGCCTCCGCGTCGAGCTGAGGCGTCCCGCAGTTGCTGGCGCCGCCGGGACCCCGCTCCCCTCCCCGGGAGCAGGAGGAGGACGAGGAAGAGATGGGGGAAGGTGGCGTGGAGGGCTCCCGCGCTGGAAAGGCCCCGGAGTCGCCGGTGTCCGCAGTCGCGGCCCCGAAGCGCTTCGGCAGGCACCAGCCGCCGTCAGTCAAGGCCATCCACGGTCCGGCGCCGCTCCAAGCTGACGTCTAGGTCCTGAGGCGGGGTGGGGGAGACGAGAACGGTAGGAGAGACACAGACGGGTTACCAAGAGCTTCGGCTGCACACCACCTCGCCTCCAATCCTTTTTCTAGTTCAAACGGGATCCACCTCCAATGGGATCTTTCAGAAGTCTAAGATCCCATTTGAGACTTCTTAAAGATCCCATTTCTGCCCGGGGCGTGAGGATTGGGAAGGGAGAGGCAAATGGAGCCTGCGCAGCCGCCCTAGGGCCATGGAAAGACTGGGATACCAGCCCTCCTTCACAGGCACCGCTCTGGTCCCGCGCCCTAGCCGCCCACCCTCTCGGCCGCATCCTTTCTCCGTGCGCGCGCCAGACCTCATGGGTGATCTGCAGAAGCTGACTGAGGCTTTCTTTCCGCCCTAAAGTGTCTCCCCCGGGCTGATGACACACAAAATAATTTAAGTAGCTGTGCCTGTCGGCATCGCCGCATCCCGCCTTTCTGCGGATGCCTCCGGGTGTGGGTTCCCCGCGGGAAAACGGTTCGCCTAAGGAAGGCAGGCAACCTGTCCAGGAAAACGAAACCGCCGCGTTCTCCTGTACTGGCTCTCCGGGAGCTTTCCGGACTGCGCAGAGAAATGCAACTCGGCCCAGGGAAAGTGGGACGTCAGGGCGGGGACAGCAGCCCATGTCCTTCCCGGCAGAGGCAGTGCGGGGAGCTCGAGGGGCAGGAGTCGCCAACCCCACCGGCGTCCCCGCGGCGCCCCACACCTTAGACACGGCCTGCGCCTGCTGCCACCAGCGCGAGCGCTCACGCCTGCCGAGCCATCCGGCCCTCCCCGCGGTCATCCCTAGCAGCAGAAAGGCCAGACCGTTCCGGAATCGGACGTAGTGGGGTGGAGCGGAGCGCAGAGAAAAGGAGGGGGGAACGCAAGGGGTTGGGGGGCGTGAGACCGCCCCGGAGCCGAGGCGACCCCAAAGTTGAGAGCCGGAAGAATGACAGGGAGACTCCGAGAGAGTGGCGGAGGAAGGCGAAATGCAGCCGGGCTGGCCTCCTCCAGGCTGCTCTTCCAAATAGCCTCGGCTCATCCGAGATTACCACACTAAAATTAATGCCCACACACAGACCCGGCTAGATAGCAAGAAAGAAGTTTCTCTGCCTGCCGGAATACCCGCTCCCGCCCCTTTGAGCCGAGATAACTCCGAGATAAGACTGCGCGCAGATAAGCGCTTCGAGAAGAGGAAAAGAGACTAGAAGTTGGTCCGCGGTGTCCCGGGAACCTGGGAGCCGCTACAGCCCGCCCGGAGGGGAGGAGGGAGACACCCTCGGAGCTGACTGCAGCCTGGAGAGGGCCGGAGAGCCAGAGGCCAAGGGGACCAGGAGAAGTAAGGGTGAAGGGGAGGGAAGCGGGGAGATCGCGCGAGTAGGAAGCAGCCGAACCTCGGGCTGGTGCTGCGCTTGGAGAACGGCCGCGGCGGAGGGTGCTCCCAGGCGCGGAGACAGGCCGAGGGCGCCAGCAGGCGAGCGCGAGTCCCGGGTTTGTGCCGCGCTGCTGGTGAATAAAAAGGAGAGAGGAGGCGCCTCTTACTGCTCTGCCGGAAAACTGCAGCCTGCGCTCCTGATTGGACTCACCGAGCCCTAAACAAACAGCGCTCGCCGAAGGGTGCCAGGCTGTGGGTCGGAACTGCGCTCCGCGAGCAGCTGGGCGCTGGAGGTGAAGAGGAGGAGGAGGGATCGAGGGGAGGAGAGAAAAGAGGGTGGGGAGGGGACGGCGAGGGGGAGGGGAGCGCGCCGCCCAGGCAGACAATGAGCGCCGCGCTGCCTGCGGGCGTGGGCTGAGCCCCGAGCTCTATCCCTGGAGTGGGGGCGAGTCCACCGGGGGCATTGAGCCCAGGGACGCCGGGGGAGGGGCGAGGGCCACAGAACGCCTAACCTGGCTGGCGACCCTCACCCATCCAGTGGCGGTGCACCCTCCTGCTCCCGCAGTCGCACACACACCCACATGAGGGAGACGGAGGGAGCCTTGGCACGGGAGGAGTTGGCAGAGCACAGCCCCACTTCGCCGCCACGGCGGGAGGGGCGCTCCAGCCCCTGGGTCAGCACGCCCCCAGAAGGAGGAGGGAACGTGCTGTGCGCCCCCCCGCCTCCCCACCCCCACCTAGCCCCTTCACAGCAAATGAGCTTTTTGCTCTACAGTTGTGTGAGACCTACCTTAAACTTTCTCCGACCCTATCTTGGGATGCCCTGGCACCGCTCAGGTGTTGGTGGCTGTCAAGGACCCAGGTTCCAACCATCTGGAAAAGTAGGAACCCAGTGCCCAGCTCCCTAGCTTTACTGCTCTTAAATATATAAATTCCCGGGAAGTTTCAGATACCTCACTACGACATTCCCCAGCTGACCTTTGGGAACTTTTAACTTGGGTCGTCCTGTACAGAACGGTAGTCTACGGGGCGCTCAAAATGGAAGAGGGTTTCCACATCAGTCGCGTTCGAGGACTCTCTCCAACTTTTGATGTCCCGTTTGCTCTGAGCTTTCCCCGGGGAGAGTTTCAGGTAAGTCGCAGATAAGTCATTGCGAAGAGGGGGGTGTCACCTTCCCTGAACCCAGCGCTAAATGCTGCTTCCCCACCCCCACGTTCATATGCACACCCCTTCTTCGCTCCCTCCAAACGGTTATCACAACTCTGTACAAACTGATACGGTCCCTAGCGGGCAAAGGGACTGGAAATGAACGTCGCGGGGTTATCAGCGCCTATCTGTCAGCAGTGACTCGCGCGGCCGCAGGCTCGTCGGCTGCCGGAGCCGTGATATATGTCTCTCTCCCTTTCGCTCACAGAAAGGATTTCTTCCGACAGACGTGACCCCAGAAGGCGGCCGAGGGAAACTTTAGGACAAGAGTTGTTTTTGCGATAATGCATTTTTAAACCCCACCACCCCCCGCACACACACACAAGGTAAATCGAAGTAAATGATTTTCTAAAGGTCAGTCTCCCAGAAAGTGTTTAGGATCTGGTTTTTTGTTTTGTTTTTACGTTTGTGTTTTCCCGGTTAGGGAGGGAAAAGGAGCCTGGGCAGAGTTGAACTGGGGTGGGGAGGTGCGTTGTAAAGTATGGTTTCCAGAGATGGTGAGACCTCGTCGCTAAGCGTTGTTTCCTCTGCACGTAACTGTGAGTTGTGAACTTGTGGCTCCTGGGGAAGCGGGGACGTGGGGACGTGGCCTGGCAGTGCGGGGGAGGGGGCGAGAAATTCAGGAAATTGGCGATAATTCTTCTTTTTTCCTTCTTCGTTGTAAATTGCTGCTAGACACTTTTGAATTTTAAATTGCTACCAAGAAGGTCCAGAAACCGTTCTCGTCCAATTTAGTCACTTTTATTACATTCTGCTTTGCCTCCCCCAGTCATTTTGACGGCTCCCAGTTTCAGCGTGGCCGCATTTTTAAAAGGCTGAAGGTAGAAAACTCTGGAATGGAGAGGCTGGCGACTGGAGCAGGATCCAGGGACTTTAAATTTTAACCTGAGTGCGATCGAATGTGCGACTTCCAGATGAGATAGCCAGGCGTCCGCCCAGCCACTCAACCCCCGCCAGGACTCGGAATGCCTTGCTTTTTAGTTATTTTCGTGAGTTCCGACCAAATGTTTAAGTGGACTGGGTTTTGCAGAAGCTCATTTGTAAGCAGTGACGGAAATGTGTTGTGGACATTTGATTTCCTTTGATTTCAACGTTTTGAAATAATGTTTCTCAGGTTTGCTATTAAAAGCAATTTTTAAAAAATCATCTTATTTGCTAAAAATAAAACTCTTTGGCTCAGTTTGAGTCCAGGCTGTGAACGGCCTCCAACCCTGAGCCCCGAGGAGATCGAGCCCTGGCGCGAGCCTGATCCCTGTCCTGTGTGTTTCTTTGTATTTGCAAGTACAAGGATGTCTGCAAGATATCCCTGGACACCGATACCCCCGGGGACCTGCTTTTGCCGCAGCTCCGCAGACGCAGCGGGAGGGCGCGCTGGCCCGGGCGCTGCTGGGACAGAGGTGAGCGGCGGGATGGACATTGACCGATTCGACAACGTTCGGGCTCTAAGGGCTCGGGAAGGGACACGGCATTTTACCCTCCAGATTCCCTATCTAATTTTTAAAATAATGTTCAAAACAAATGAGAAAAATAAGTGATTGCTCCTTTTCATGGTCACAGATTGTATTTATTTTTTCAGACTGGTTTTCCAGTCAAAAGAGAGAATGGGTAGTGAATGCTGTTTTTTTTCTTTTTTTTGGTTTTTTTTTGTTTTTGTTTTGTTTTGTTTTGTTTTTTTGTTTTTTTTTTAATGTTGCTTAATTTAAAAATAAAACTGTTTAACTCGTGCAGTTGATTCAGACAGAAAACCAGGCTTCCTGACCTCTCCAGTGTGCCTTTTCCCCAGTGCATCTTTGGCTCTAGGGTCCACACCGGGGAAGACAAGCATGCTTTCAAAGCCACTCCCATGAGCCCCAGGCCCGCGCGTGAAGCTTCCTGGGCGCTCCCCAGCTGGTCTGAAAAGCCAGCAAACTAGGAAGTTCGGAGGGAAGAGGTGAACCACAAACAAGGGAGAACCCCAAGAGCTAGGAAGAAGATCCCCACTAGTGTCCAAGGTACACGGACAAGCTCTTAAAAGTTCTTGTTTTCTTCGTCGGTATTTTCTTTTCTTTTCTTTTCCTCCTTCCCCCCCCCCCCCCACCCTTTCACCCCGTCTGTCTCCTCTTTTGGGATTTGCTAATCTTGAACGAAACTGTTTATCTCAGGTCTATTTAGACCCAATGAGCCGCCCCTCCTGGGCGAGCGGTCCCCATTACCCTCACAGAGGACTGACTCCCGGGCGCGACCTGTCCGCGGGGTTGATTTATTTGGGCCGCGCCATACCACGATTCACGATTCGAATCCACCCAGAACACCGCAGCCAATTGGGCAGGGGGCGGGGGCTTGGCTGCCAAACGGGAAGGGTGTTTGAGGACCCAGTCGTGCGCCGCTTCCGGAGTAGCCGCGAGACCCGGGCAAGGGCCCGCGTCCCCGCGCACCTCCACCCGCGCCAACTCATGCTCATTTTTACGACCCTATCACAAAACTGGCTGCTCCGGCGATGTTTCATAAAGAAAAAGAATGCATTTCTGACTTAAAACGTATTTTTAACTTAGATTTTTAACAGCTCAGATTTATGAGGCCTTCTTGCTTATACCATAATTCTTCCCGTCCCGGAGACGCTTCTACCCAAGGACCCGGGGTCGTCTCCGAGCCCCCAGCCCCTGCCAGCGTCCGGGCCCAGCGGCGGAGTCCGGGCGGCTTGTCACCTACTCCGTGGCCGCACTTGCACTGCAGGCCGTCGACCAGTCTGGCGGTGATTTTCTTTAATTCTCGGAAAACTAAAAACACTCTTTAGAAAAGTCAGGTGGTGGCGGCGGAAGCTTGAAGGTCGCCCCCACCCCCTGCCCCGGCTCCCCGCCGCCGGCCGCTTAGGGAAGGACCGCGCAGAGCCTGCGCCGGGGTCCCCGGGCGGGTGGAATCGAGGCCCCGCGCACGGCGCAGCCCCGGCCGGGTCCTGAGGCCCCTCGCCCAGCGCAGCCCCCGGCCGACCCCCGCGCGCCGCTGGCGGCCGCCAGCATGGCGCGGAGGTGGGCTCGCGGCGGCGGCGCAGGAGAGGTCACCGCGGTGGCATTCCTCTCCGCGCTGTTTACGTGACTTAATGTACTCGCTGCGCCGCGGGTAAGTTCGGGCCGCGATAAGGGGGCGGCCGGGGGAGGGTCGCCTTCCAAGCCCCTCGCCGGGCGCCTCCAGCCCTCCCATCATCCATTAACCTTTTTACTTTCTTCTCCCCTCTCTCTGCAAGCCTGTTATCTAGGCCACCCAATGACCGACGAAAGATCTTCCCTCCCTGCTTCTCCCGTGGCCGCTTTAAACCAAATAAATTTAGCTATTAAGGGCCAAGATGTCTGACAAAAGATCGAAAGGTGTCTTTCCGTGATCGCTTAAAGAAGCGAAGGAGAAGCTCGCGGCTCCCAAATCCCGATAAAGAAATTCTTCGCCGGCGCCGGCCTCCCTCCCCGCGGCCTGGTTGCTCCCTGACGCCCTGAGACCCCGACTTCTGCGGCCGCAGACCTCGGAGGGGCCGGGCGGAACCTGTGGCCGCCGCCCAGAGAAGGTGAAGGCCCCTGGGCTACGGGGCCAGGGAGTGCCAGGCCCTCGGGGACAGGGCGGACACTGGGGTCCCCGGGAGTTCTGGAGCTCCAGGTGGGAGCTGGGGATCCGCCACTTCGCAGAAAAACTAAACCGAGCCCAGGGGGCCAAGATTACCACTATATTTTTATGATTTTCTGATGCTAAATAATAAAGATAAAACCAAACCGCCCCCACCTACCACCCCACTCCCTGCGGGTCTGCTAAGGGGCAGTGTGCTGCTCCACGTCGCTGGTCCTGAGGAGCAGCCATTCCTTTGAACCCCAGGCTGAAGGTGGTGGGTGGAATTGAGGCTGCCCGGGAGGGTGTGGACTCGCAGAGAAACGGCATGCAGGTGGGAAGCAGAGGTCCAATCATTCAGTCATCCTAGGCTTGGGTTTGGTTATGAAGTGTGGTATTTATCATTATTATTAATTGCTACTGGCACCACTACATAAAGCCTAGGGCTGCCAGCTGGGCTGAGGCCCTGCCCCTGGATCCCTTCCCTTTCACCAAAGGGTGATGGCAGGGAAGATCCAGTTTCCTGATCCTGGATACTGCAAAGTGGGTTTCGGGAGTCAGGTGTGACGTTTTTGAAGTTTTCTCCTCCCTTCAAGTAAAAAGAGTCCATATTCCAGAGCAGCATAAACCTTTTCTACCTCTGAAATAGGATAAGGAAGTGATGGGTGGGGGGTACGCTGCCGATGAGACCCCTTGGCTTCCCTGCAGGGGGCTTTCCTAAGTCTTCTGCCTCTCCTAGTGTGTTCTCTGGCAGATGTTGGGGGCAGGACTCTCAATTCCAAAAGGCAGCCCAGTATCGGCTGTCTGTCCCCTCACACTGGCTGGGAAGTGGAAGATGTCTTTCTTTTCTTGTTAGCCCTTCCAAATAAGGTGAATGCCAAAAATCATCCATCCTATCTATCCTTACCCCACCAGCCTCTGGGGAGGAGAAAAATCAGAGCATCAGAGGAAAAGGGTGTATTTCTGCTCCCAAGAAGGTGAAAGAGATGGAAAAATTTCCAACCCACTAGATAGGCAGGAGCTAGGCTCTTCCTGGATTTTGCTGGTATCACAAGGTGTACAGGCCATGCCAGTTATAGGGCCCGGGTCCAGGTATCACTGCCCCTGGGCTGTCTCAGCCCAAAGACCTTCCTGACACTATAGTTTGTTTTTGTTTTGTTGTTGTTGTTGTTGTTGTTGTTGTTTTCAAAACCAAAAAGTGTGGGACAGGGATTACTAAAAGGAAACAGGAAAAAGAAGGAAATCAGCTTTTGGAGACTTGCTAAATTTCAAATGCCCTGCTTTGAGTCAATCAAAAGGGCAAAAAGTGCCAAAGAAACAAACAAATAAAAGTTACTAACCAAAAATATGACCTCTCCATTCAGCTATGTTGCAAACATGCAGAAAATTAGGGCCAAAGGGTTGTCTACCAAGATGCAGACCTCCAGTTCCCTGACACTTGCCCAACGCATACTGAGTATGCACTGCACAAGGCAGAAAGAGAAAAGTTAGCTCCTAGTTTTGAAGTGTTTACAGTCTAGAACAGGCGTCCTCAAACTTTTTACACAGGGGGCCAGTTCACTGTCCCTCAGACCGTTGGAGGGCCACCACATACTGTGCTCCTCTCACTGACCACCAATGAAAGAGGTGCCCCTTCCTGAAGGGCGGGGGAGGGGTCGGATAAATGGCCTCAGGGGGCCGCATGCGGCCCCCGGGCCCTAGTTTGGGGTCTAGAAGGTTGGCACCTCTGTAAAGCCAGTTAGGCAAAGTCCCACTTGCCAAGATGGAAGGAGATAACTGAGTCTTTTTCCCTTCTCTAGAAAAGTATCAAAGTCCAGATTGTCCTCTAGGTGACCCAGCGGGTTTGAAAAGAAAGGAGTGGCTCATACACTGAGGAAATGTCTAGGAGCCAGTGGGCCTGAGTAGGACCCTGGACCAGGCTGCTTGGGTTTCAATCCTGATGCCACCATTTACTAGTGGTGTGATTATGGCAAATAGTCCAATCTCTCTGTGCCACAGTTTCTTCATCTGCAAAATGAAGATAATAAAAGTATCCCCTCTACAGGGTTGCTAAGAGGATGAGAAGATTTCTTACATGTAAACTGCTAATAGTACCTGGCACATAGTAAATGCTATATAAATATTATTACTAATATCTATATTGCAACAGACTTTCATATACTACACCAAACTTCAATTTCTTGTGTGATCCAACAGTCCCCAGGAGAGAAATTAATTCCCAGGAAATAACTTCTTTGAGCACTCATTCAATG